GTTTATTGAACAAAAACATCATTTAGTACAAGTACTGTGGAAAATGATGATCGAACAACTGAGGAAAATAAAAATCGAATTGCAGTGGATTCAAGTGAGTAGTCTTTACCATCCAAAAAAAAGTATTCATTATAAATTTATAAATAATCAGGAATTGCATTATGTACTATTGCATTTATAACTATTTATATATATATATATATATATATATATATATATATATATATAATAATAATATAATATAATATACTCGTATTTAGCAGTAGGTATCTAAATATGTATACTTATTTATAATCCCCCCCCCCCCCGTTAAGGTAGGCTGGATCCGCGCCTGGTCCATACTAAATGAAATTCAAATAAAATACAAGCGTAATTATCAAAACACAAACAGGTGTTAAAAATAACTACACCAAAGTCGATTTTAAGGGTATCCGGCATTAGATTAAAAAAAAAAAAAAACATAAATATTAAGAATCCACGTAATTTAAATATTACCAACAATTTTACTTTATATTATAAATTATATATTATCATATTAAATATATAGGTAATCATAATTTTTTAAATATTATAAAGTCGGCAAATTTAATCAGTTGCCCCACCCTTTCAAAAGTTGAAATGACTTGAATATTTCAGATTTAACCGGATATTTCAAACATCATTGATCGTATAACGTACATCACATCCAGGCCCGGCTCAAAGGGTAGGCGACATAGGCCCACGCCTAGGACGGCATTTTTCCTTGACAATTTTTAGGCATAAAAAAAAAATATTTGATAAAATATTTACACGTAAGGGGCGGCAAAAACTAAATTTCACCTATTTGTTTAAACACTAGAACTGGGCTTGATCAGATCAAACCCACCAACATCGAACTTAAGTAATGTAATATTATATCGTACAGCGCAGTAAGTACAGCGCATATATACTATTATATATGACAGACTGTAATACAGCAATAATGTGTGGACCACACATATTTAAAATAAAATCGAAATATAAGCGTATATTATAGGTATTAAGTGTAGAAGACGAGTTGAAGACATCTTTTTACATCGCCATCCAATGACTTCAATGCTCGATTTGGCAAGGGCGTATTTGAATTGAGACCATGAGGGAGGAGGGCGAAACTAATTTTCCTTCAATACAAACTTAAAAATAATTTACAGTTCATGTTTCTGTTATAATGATAGACTAGTAATTTATATTCTTAATTATTTATACATTACATTTTTCGAGTAAATCAATGTATTATAGTCAACAAAAATACGAGCCATGAGGGGGGGAATGTCCGCTCCCCCCCTCAAATACACCCTTGTGATTTGGTTACATTTATCGTTCAAGATATCACGTACATCGCGATTACGCTTGCTCATTATTGTAGTTATCTACTTAAATAATTATCTTAATAAAATACAAAATATTGTTATAATATTAATGTTTGTTTTATCTATTTATATAAAAATCAGAGAATTCGATGCAATAATATGAATCTAAGGTTTAATATTATAAGAGACGTTAAGAAAATAAGGTTACAAAACATGTTAAAAATATAAAAATATATAAATAAATAATATATATATATATATGAAAAATATATAAATAAATAATATTTATAAAATTTACAAGATGTGTTCAAACATGGTATTATTTTTCTACATAATCAACATTAAGGCCGATTCATTTTTGAAGCTTAAACATTACTTTCTGAATAACGAATACCAAAATATATTATCCATTAATAATTTAATGGATATTTGTTGAAATAAATTATTTGCAACGGTTATAAAACATTTTTGTGAATTTCTTGTTACATATTTTTGGCTACCAAAAAAATGTAAAATATTGTAAAACAGTAGGAACTAGACTCGAACTGTCATACCAAACATATTTGATGAAAAATTATTTCCTCAACTCCCCCAAAACGCACAAAAACTCCAATAAAGCAGGAGAAACTCACATACCAACTAATGTCTCTCCAGACACCATCGCTGTTCAGTTTTCTTCCTAACGGAATTCAAACTATTAATAAGTCCCCTTATTCAATTACCCTCCTCATCAGTTTAAAAGATGCTGGTGCCACGATCTCCTGACCTAGGCATTTTATCCTAATCAAATATAGGGTCATATCACCGGATTGCTTTCCTTCTTGTTTGTTTTTTATATGCTATATTGTGTCCACAAATTTGCTCACTGTGCAAAAAATATACAGATTGTAAATATTATATTTTTAATAAAAAAAAAAAAGATAGTTAAGAGCCAGGTAAATAATTATTACATATTCAATATTTTTTACCAAACAATATTTTAGTACATTTTATTACATCCATATAACAATAATAAATGCATTTAAAAAAATAATCAAATTATTCTAGTCATGTTAACTTATTTGACAATTTAACAAAATCACAATAACCAGTGTTGAGTATAAAATGCAAATTTCACATTTTAGTATCCACTTTGTTCTGATGAAATTATAAATGCAATTTATAATAATATACTCCAAATATACTTTATCAATGAAATAGACAGTACATTTCCACGGAATTCAATTCATATTTCCTAAAAATATACATCAATATAGATAATAGTTATATTGCTAAATAATAATATTAAAAAAAAATCTCACGTGATATACAATCATATAAAAAATACATTTTTATATCAATGCCGAATGAACCAGTTTGTAGTTATTTAATTTATTTTTTTTTTGGAAAATAAACAAAAGGCAGCTCTAGTTGTTGTCACACAAGATAAATAACAATTAACACCTACAAATTAAATAGAAAGTAATTAGATTAATAACAAATAATTGTATGTAGCAAAAAGCAGTACACAATAAATTTAATTTAAGATTCATCATATTATTACTAATATTTTAGAATATAATTTTAAATTGGTACTAAATAATTAAAAAATTTGTCATATTAATTATTGAATAAAAAATTTAAATTACTATTCAAAGTTACTGTTATAAGACTTGATGAAATAAATTGGTAAAAAATATATAGCCACTTCTATATTTTAATTAATAATACTATAGATATTTATTTAGGGAAGGAATTATTTAATTAATTTTCAAGAATATATTTATTTTTTTCAGTAATTAATAGCTATAGCTATATATTCTGGATTCATAAAATACTTAAATTGTGATATTTATATTATTTTAACACACTATGTTTTAATGGCGATTTAATTTTATACTTAAACAGTCAAAAGTTCAATTTAAAGGAACCTCGTGTTACTTTATTATTCACTTTTACTATAAAAATGTTAAAGATTTCTCAATAGAAAAAAAATGTTTCTATTAATTAAATGTACATTTCAACTATTTATAAATTAATACTTTTAGTAGTTAAAAAATTAATGTAATTCATAAAATAAAAGCCATGAAAAATAATATGTATTTGATTTATAATTGGGAGATACGATGATATTTTGATACTTACATTCAAAACACATCGATAGCTCGACCAAGATTTCTAAAAATAAATAAATAAAAATATTAGTTAATATAAAATGGAGCCATAAATGTGAAACAGCTCAATAGAATAATTATGATAACAGATTGAATTAGCAAAATAAAAGGAAAATAATATTTATTTAGTAAAAAAAAAAAAAAAAACCAAAATTAAAATAATCATTAAAATTACCTATTAAATGTGTACTTCAGATACATATTTAGGTAAATTGATTTCAGATAATAAAAAAAATGTTCTTCATCAATGAATAAGCAAATATATTATTCATGAATAAAGAATGACAAAAGTCATAATTATTTGTAAATTATATAATAATACATTACAAAGTATTATAGCATATTATCAATAATTTTCAATATATAGGTACATGGTTAGTATTATCAAAATCTTTATTCAATAAAGTTAGACCACAAGGAGGGATCAAAGTGATAATGACCAGTAATTTTAAACTAAACTAGACATTTAATTATTTAAATTAACTGTACATACAAGAGAGAGATAACATACAGTAGTATAATAAATTTTGTTTAATTTTATAATTAATGTAAATTTAAAACTAGAATCAACACATTACAATTTATAATGTAATATACTAATCTATGTTACTCTTTCATTCCAATAAATTTTCAATTTATGAATACAAAGTAATTAGTTTTAAGTTAAACAGATATATTAAGATAAAAAAATAGAAAACATATTTTTATTTTATTTTCATCAACCTTTTATAAACATTTATTTTTGCTGTTCCTGGTTTATAACCTAACCATCATTTAATAGTTTTTACAATTTAAACAACAAATGGTTATATTTTAATTGAATAGATTATGGTTTTTTAAGATAATAAAATACAAAAAAATAAAATATTACTTAGATAGGGCTGTCATGAAATTAACTTCCATTATTTATATTTAAAAATGTTACCAACTATCTGTTTCCTAAATTAATATTAATTAAATCTCTATCTTTATTCAATTAAATTTTTATGTAAGCCAAAGACACTCCAAAATTCTACATTACATTATATCTAATTCATCAGATTCAAAAAAAAGAGATGAATTTCAAATAATACATTTTATCAATAAAATAAAAAGACAGTTCATTTTCTTATTTAAAAAAAGATTACAAGTTTTGGATAAATTATGTGCATTTCACTCATTTAATGACTCAATGTTGTAAAATTATAAAATATTTTACTTGAAAAATTATATACCCAAGAAAACATTGATTAATTATAAAAATATAAGATCAAGTAAATCAAGCTATTATATATTGGAGTCATTAATAATAAATTAAAAGATTAAGAAATAAATAAATAAAATAAGGAATACAAGATATATTATGAATAAGATCTACAAAAATAAAATGTAAGAACTAAAGATACAGGCTAGGTAGTAATTGGAAACAATCTAAGACTACAATGTGAAATATAATAAATTGGACACAATATAATATATTAATTAAAAATTATAAATTAAAACCTTAAAATGCAATAATTCCACCCATAAAATAAATTGGTTATGTAAACTAAATATTTAAGTTTAAATCCTAAAACAAAGTCACGGTAATTATATTAAAAACAAATGGATAACAAATAAAAGATCAAATTTCTTTCAGGCTTTCAAAAACAAGATTGTTTTTTTTTTTTTTTAAGAATGATTATGCTAAATAACTTTTAAAAAAAATACTTAAAAATAAGAAATGAAGATGGGTAGGATTAAACACAAGTATGAATATGAATAATTAGCGGATTTGGGATCAATTAGCATTCAGTAAGGAGCAAACTTGGTCCTGTCCGCTTTGGTTTTGTCGCCTGAAGGGCTGCGGTTTCTCTGGAAATAATTTTTCGGGCGATGAACACCCGTGGTCTGAATTGGAGGGGATTGATTGGCGCCAGATAAGGCTCCCAAGAGGTCGGTTAGGCCGCCAAGAGCAGATAAGCTGGATAAGGCATTAATGGCGCCCGGCTTGGCAAATAGTTGAGCCAATGGGATGGCGGACGACAAAGGAGATGCGGCCACTGTCGGAGGAGTAGGCAAGGTTGAGCTGGACCCATCATCAGGACTAGAGGATGAGTTAGCCCCCTCAAGATTGGCTTTCTGCAGTTCCACACTAGAGAAGAAATTGGGATTAGTGATAAAAAAGGACAAAAATTGCAATACGAGGGATATAATGGTAACACTAGGATTCATTCTCAATTATGTTTCCACGAATATTGTCTACAACATAAAAATAAAGTTGTACCTCATTTCAATTAAGTACTTGGCAACCGCAATAGAATCTTTATTCCCTGTAATTGTTATATGTCGATCTTCATTCTCACCATTTTCATGAGTTCCATCACCTTTAGCAATATGAACTAAAGCACCACTTATTTGTCTACATAAAATACATATACATATAATTTAATATAGTCTTTATTATTTATTTTAATAATGTAAATAAATGTAACCTAATAAAAACTAAGATATATGTTCAGAAAACACTTATATAATTCCATTAATGCATAATATACTTCAGAAATTGAAGTAAATGTACAACAAATAAAAACATTCTACTTAATATTAATTAATTGATGAAACTAATAACTAAAACTTTGGTTTCATATACAATTATATGCATTATATTGCAACATTTTCGTCATAAATAGCTATAATTGGTACAAGCATTATTCAGAAATAAATTGTATTAAGTATAAAATTTTGTTTGTATTGTAATATGCCATATACCACTAAATTAGCTATCTTAGAAAGAAAGCTTAGAACATACAGTACAGTAGAATCTCAGTAATCCAACAAATATCCAACCACGCTACTGCAAGATTAACGAAAACAGCAGATTAATGGGGCTCAAATAAAAATGCATTTCTACTTATTGAATTTTACTTTTTTATTCATATTAAAAAATAAATAACCTTATTTAGTTTTATTGCAGCACATAAATAATACACACATATTCTGTTTAATTAATCTTTTGATGGGACAGGTTTAAAAAAAATGATCGATTTGTTTTTGTTTGAAATAGTGCTTTTAAGACTTTTTTGTAGTCGATATAAACACCCAATTATAACTTGCATCTACTGTGGTGGAGTGAATTATTGTTGAATAGCTACTCCTTCTACCGAAGATTTAAATATCATTGACAAGAGTAATTTTATGATTATTCGTCGAATAAAAATAGATTAATACAGCCGGATTACTGGAGGTACCAGATTTCTGAATGATCAGATCACCAAGACTTTACTTTATATATTTATATTAAAGCTCTTAAAACACGTGTCACGGAATTCACGTGTACATGTGAAATACATGTTTATCCAAAATATATATCCATTTTTACAATGGTAAAATTAGTAATTTTATGTTATACACTTGAAGTTTTAATAAAATATTAATAGTACAGTATTAAGTTAAGGATATACGTTTTTATTTTGGATTTTACACGTAACACATGAATTCCGTGAATTCACGTGTATTAAGAGCTCTAATTTATATTGTTTATGTGTGTATATGTGTGTGTGTGTATTAAAACTAATTTATTGTTAACAATGAAAAATTATTAAATACATTAAATATAAATTTTTAATAAAACTTTGAAATATATTTCTTTATATTTTATTTTTATCAATTCATGCATATCATACTTCAATAAACTTAAATGCATAATTTGCAATGTTATTACAAACAAATTTTACCTTAATTATGAATACTTTAAATTAATACTATTAAATCAGTGGAACCAATAAAAACAATAACTAAAAAAAACCCCTTCAAAATCACTTATTTTAGGAACACCTAGATAAGCGTTTCAGTTATGTACTATAATACATCCTATTCAATAACAAATCTATGTAGATACTAGTACCATTGTGTTGTACACTCAATATAATTTAGTAAAACCTTACCGAATTTCTGCTATTTTACTTCCTCTCCTACCAATAACACAACCAATCAAATCATTAGGTACAGTCATAGATACAGTTTCAGTGTTGGAATTAGAATTTTGATTTTTGTGATCTCCACCATTACGATTTTGACGATTGCCTGTTCTCAATTGACTTCCAGCTAACGCAGCCAAAGCTAAAATACATTTTTAATCAAATTAACATAAGTCATAAGATGGGGGTAAAATACTGAACTGAATTTGTTCAATCATTTTTAAATGTTTTTTGTTTTATTACAATTTAACAGGTTATATTATAAAATACAAAGTCAAATTTTTATATTTCTATAATTATATCACTTTATAAAATTTATATATAAACTGGAAAAATAAATTCTGGAATTTAAATTTCTATATAATGACAAAAGCTATTTTGTAATAGAAGTTATTATGAAAATATGAAGTATCAATATTGAAAATCGAATAATTATTTTTATCATTTCAGCTAATAAAATAGTATAGAAAGATGTCAGAGCGTATCTAATACCATAATTTACTAATACATTTCATTATTGTAATTGTACAGATTACATAAATATTATCTGCAGTAATAGCACATTTAGTGCAATTGAATAAATACCGTAATAAAAGATAAAAAATTATCTAATTTATTAATTAGCCAATAAATCTATTGGACAAGCTTTCCTAAAATTGTACATAGGCTATAACTATGGAACAATTATTTGATTTTCAATTAAAATGCTTTGAAATGTTATAACAACTTGTACTAAAATATTTATTTACTTTTTAGTACAATTTAGTTACTTAATAGAAGTTAAAATTTCTGAATTTTTCAGGAATTCACATCCAGATTTATTTCTAATTAGGATATGGCAGTGTTTAAATACTTACTATCTAAGTATACAGTGGATTTCACTTAATGTTACTATTGGTTATATGAGCATTATAGTTTAGTCCCAATTCTAATACATATTAACAAAGCTAAAAGACACCACTTAATGGAAACTTAATTAGGTTTAGGAGGCAGTTTATTTTTTATTATAACATAATTTCAGCATCTACACATTTTTCAAAAAGATCTTTAAGTTAGTAATGATACTCTAGTCAGGATCTTTACAATGTCTAATAGCTGAACATTCATGTATTCCAAAATCAAAAATCCCAAACTTTCCAAGGTAAAAAACATTTAACAAGAAACTTTCAATTCAAACTAAATATGTAGTGAGAAACAATTTTCATTCACAACAAACCTTGGTTTTTACATTTCTGAACCCATGTTGAAAGCCTAAGCTAAAGTTTTAGCCCAGAAAACAAGCAATTTATAGCTACTGTTAGTCGATTTAGTAAGTTTAGGAAGAGACAATATTAAATTTAAACATGTGCATAAGGTATACAATTTATTAGTATGAACTCTTATGTATTTTATTTAGCAATATTTTTTAAATTTGATGGTAGAAATGTAACATGAAATGCACTCATTTTAAAATTGAAAACTTTAAGACTTTATTGTCTTTTTTCTATTTATTTCGGTTTTTATGGACAACCACTTAATATGAGCAAAAGAAACTGATCCCAACATGTCCACATTAAATAGTATCTACTGTATATGAACTATATAAGTATTATTAAATACAATTTTTACTCAAATTATAACATTATATATTATTTACTGCTCTTTAAAAATTAATGTAATTAAATCAATTTTATTATCATATACATACCAGCTGGATTGATACCACCTGTAGACGCAGTTCCTAAACCAAGAGCTGCAAGACTGGCTAAAGGATTAGTGCGTTGTCTCCCAAACTAAAATAATTTTTAACTTAGTAATAAAATTGAAAGAATTATTGTTAATTATTTAAAACCAATATGAACTAACTTACATCGTTACCAACTGCACTACTAGCAAATCCTGAAGTTTTACTACGAGGATCATAGGGAATAGTGGCACTACGTGGTGGAGACTAAAAATTAAAAATTATATCATGAAAATGTAATTAAGATTTAATTTATATTATTATAAATTAAAATGTTATTACATCTAATAATACATTGCACACTTGATAAACACATTGTGATATGGTGTTTGTAGTACCAGTAATTGAAACAAGACGTTCAGTTGAATTTGGCAACATATCAGATGCTACTTGTATAGCAGCACCACTTGATTCTCTAATTTCTTTTATTTTGCATCCTCCTTTCCCAATGATAAAGCCACATTGAGATGCTGGCACAATTAACTTAAAAGTTAATGGTGCCTTAGGACCATTCCAATCACCATTTTGTCTTTCAAAAAACTAAAAATAAAAAATAAATAATAACTATTTACGGTATTTAATAAAATTCTTACTTCTTCAACTTTTAATCCAATAAGTTCAGTAGCCTTACAAATAGCATTTGTAGTTCCAGTAATAGTAACAATACGTTCTGGAGTTGAACCATCAGAAATTAAAACTCTAGCCCCAGACTAAATAAATATATAATAATATTTGTAATACAATAAATAATACAAAAATGTTAATACAAATTACTTGATCTCTTATATTTTTTACAGTCTCACCTCCCTTACCAATCACATTTCCAACTTCCTAAAAATTAAGAAAAAATTGTTTACATAAATGATCATAACACTGTAATTGATTATTATAAAATTAAAACAGTTTTATAATAAATCTATATACGTCTTAATACAATTTATAATTTAACTATCAATATGTATAAAAAATACCAAATATAACAAAAAAATAATTATAAATTGAGTAAATTATTTCCAATAAAATATAAAAATACTCAAAAAATGAGAAAAAATATAAAAAAAATTAAGTTATAAAAAAACTTGTTATTTTGTTTTTAATTTTTATAGAGCAATAAATTATAAAACATAATAATATTAAAAAATATTAATATTTAAACAAAGAACTAATTTTTAAGAGAGATAACAATTAAAATGTACTTAAAATACATACTCGACCATGAAATAAAATCCGTATTGTCAAATTAACATCATTGTAATCATTGAAATTAGACCCATTGGAATTTTGCTGTACGTTGGCCATTGTATCCTTAAGAGACATTGACAAGAATAAAAATTAAAGAACCAAATAACTATAGATAAAATTTATCAATTAAATTATCATTACTAAATTTAATCTATTAAGTAATTATAACACATTTGTAGCATTTAAAACTAATCAATAGACAACAAACATTTTAAAGGAAACAAATTATAAAGCAGTAGAACATTACAACTATATAATAGTACTTAATCTCCAAAAACAAAATACGAGACCTGCGTAATAAATAATAACAATTGATAAGTCTTTTTACCATAATTAGAAATTAGAATTGTATTGATAATAAGGTACATGATAGAAGCTAGAACGTTTATGCAGTGTTACCGTATATAAAAAAATTGAATACACTCAAATATATATTCATAGTTAAATATCTTCATAAAAATGATTTAAAATTTTTTTTTATATATATATATTTTTTTTTATTTAAATAAAATACGAAATATTTACAATTTGAATCTTTTATGATTTAATCATTAAACTATTAATAAGTACCTAAAAATGTTAAGTAAAACTATTATTTTCTTAGGTCTTTGATTTTTTGTTAGATTTATATTTAAATTTCAACATTTTTACTTGGTTTGCAAAGGTAGTATTATACTCTTTAGAACTATAATATAAGTAAAATTAAAAATTATAATTAATAAGGAAAAAATGTAATTAATTTCAATTTTAAAATAATACAAAGGATTAATGTTTATAATATAGAGTTCTTAGACATTTTCTTTAAAAAAAGGAACTAATTAATGTTAATTATTTTTAATAGAAACTAGTTCCTTTTCTCATTCTTAAATAAAGAACTTTTTTCGTTACTCAATAATTTTAAAATATAATTAAAATAATTAATAGTTGAATAGTTTATCCAGTTTTTAGCAATGTCTCACAGATAAAGCTGATTTAACTGAATTAACATTAGTAAACATTGTCAATATAATTGTAGATAGGATTAACTTTATTATACAAAAAAACTTTATTGAAAATAAAAATAATAATTAAGTTAGCTACCCATATATAGAGTTGCTGGTCAAAACAGCATATTAAATCAATTGCTGAATAATATTTAAAAATAGTAAAATCAATCAAGTAAAAAAAAAGTTATAAAAAGGAAGGAATGAAAAATATATATATATATAAAGGAACTATGTATCTGATAAATTATTAAAAATAGAACAAACACTAGGATTGTTTTATAACCAAATAGTTAAAAACTAACACATAAGTTAATTTTTAAAAATGTAGTGGAATAACATATAAGTATTTAAGTAACAGATACATTTATTTAACCTTTTTTTTTACGAATGACTAGGATACAAAATAATACTATTACTAGCTGATCCAGCATAGGTTGTACTATCATAAATGATCAAATAATGTATTATAACTGAATAAGATTATGCCTTTCAATCCGGCGTTAGTCGCACTATGGTCAAAATGACCGCACTTTTTTTACATGTTATTCTATATACACAAAATTAAATATAATTAGAATATTATAATATCATTTTTAATAACATTATTGAAAGGTATACCGAGTATCAATGGTTAAAATATAAAACATAAATGTTTTATTAAAAATGTAAAAAAAGTCCAATCATTTTGACCATAGCGCGACTAATACCTGGATAAAAAATCAAATCAAATTTAAGTTATTATAACATTCATGAAACTTACAATGCAATGTTTTATAAAGTAAAACACTTAGTTTTATTAAATTAATCTTCTTAAAAACAACAATTAAATAATAAAGAAAAGTCATTGATTATATTCAATAATTATAAATTATACAATTAAATGTCATAGATTCTATATTTGATGAAATTTTAAGAAATCATTGAATACCAACTTTAAAAATATTTATAATCAATTGAAGACTAAACTAACATCAATCACTTGTGTTAATTTTATCGGGAGTTTATACTTGTTATACATCAATACATTTATGGTTTAATTATATTAGAATTTAAAATTAATCAGAAAAAAACATTTATGAAGGATTTTAAATTGTATCAAATTGTCTGTAACAATAATTTTGTACATCAAAACGTTAGTAAATTAGCAAAAATCACTAACCTTAGGTGTGTTTAATATGCAGCGGATTCTTTAAATAATACACTGTGTGAAAACAAAAGAATTCTGTGAATTTTTCACCAAAACGGTAAAAATAATAGAAGAAACGTTGTTAGTTAACTGTTTTAGTGCATGAGTAGAAAATACAGCTGTTAACTATAGCCGATAAGTGTAATAATTATATTAATTATTCAGTGAATCACATCTACCTCGAAATGGCGTTGTGCACTCCAATGCGGTAATAAATTAATGCTGCCGAACGCCGATCACTGTTAAGAGCCCACTACATTTTGATAACGCATACATTTTTTTCTGTAATCATGGAACACCAAACGATGCAAAACGGTGTTGGGAATGCAAATGTTGCAGTGTTGCCCACCCACAGTCCTGCGGAACAGTCGACTGAGTTAACACATTGATGGACATTCTGAATTTTGGTTTTTTTTTCTTAAGTTCCTTCAGAAACGCAAAAGTGATTTTTGACCACTGCTATAGCAGTACTGTCTACCTACATGGTAATATCAAATACGTATATCCAGGGGCGCAATTTCAATTTAAAAACTGGGGTTTCTAAAGCCCTTCTATCTCTTCCTGTTTCTTAATGGTCATATACACCCGCAATCCATACAATTCAACAGTTATTAAAATATTTGGTAAATATTTGAATATTTCTAAATTTAAATTGTTCACTTTGATTTTATATTTTTATTGCGCATATAACCCATCTGTAAACACAAATGTTTCATCACATTCTGAGTGAAGCGAAGAACATGATGGTTTTATAACAGAGGCGGCTCCAAAACCTTGGTTAGGGGGGGCCAAGTTATAATTTTACAAAATCTTATACAGTGGCGGCTCATGAGGTTCACATAAGTTGGTACACAAATAATTTGTAAGATATGTAGGTTGGTAAAAAAAATATTAATTTTAACATAGGTATAGGTACATGTAACATAATTATCTATATATATATAAATATAAATGAATTGCTGTTCGTTAGTTACACGAATAATAATATACGTTAACGTCAGTGGTCGATAGTAAACAGAAACATAATTGTTGTTTTGAATTTAAGATAATGACTAACAGTATCAACTAATAATCGGAATATAATAAACAAATGTGAGTAAAAATAAATCATAATGCCGATGCCAACGCGCAAGAGTGCGCCGACAGAAAATAATTCACTGAAAACAATTTAAGTGGTTATGTGCACAGAAACGAAAGTGCACATCAACGCATGTTGCGTGTTTCGACTTGTTTTAATTTTTACATTGTACAATTGTGCACACTCAGTGGCGTGCCGAGATAAAAATTTTTTTGATACCAATTACAAATTCTAAATAACCACCCATCCACCCTTAATTAAATTCATCTTATTCAGAATTCATATATCAATATTTCTCTACCTAAAAATATACGATAATATGTGATTTACAAATTATTATCCAACAACCACCCACCCCTTTTTAACTTGATGCCTGGGTTTCATTAAGACCTATATTCGGCACGCCACTGTGCACACCAATAGTGTGCACTACTGCACCACTATAACACATCACTGATACCGTTTCGTCGCGGACAACCACCTGCCCGTTTGGCCTTCGGAAACCCCATCTAAATATTATATTATTTTCATAATATTCTGAATTTATATTTTTATATTTTGAAAAATAATCTTAATAACACTACAGGTATTATTTTGTTGTATTATTATGGTTTATGTTTTCAGTTTTTTTGAGTTTGAGTAGGTAGTGCACGTGCACTTGTGCACATATACACGAGCCGCCACTGATCTTATAACAAAAAGAAAACAACAATTTTTACAACACAAATTTAAGTTGTCTATTTTTAAAATTGACAAAAATATCAATAATATGATCTATTTAATCTAGAATTTCTTTTTTATGATAAGTATACATTAATTAGACATAATGCTGATAATCTATCTTCAGTGGTGTATTGGAGGGTATACGCGGGTATACGCCGTATACCCGCATCCTTCTTTTTGGATTATGCGTATACTTTTAAGAAAATTCGTCTATCATGGGTATACGCTAACCAGTGACGGTGCTAGAGTTTGGGAGGCCCTGAGAAAAATTAATGTTGGGCCTTATAATTTATATTAATAAAATATTTTAAGCTCAGTTAAATCAGAACTGCGGGACCTTAATTATAATTTAAGGCACGGGGCCCTGGGCAACTGCCCCTATTGCCCACCCCCTCGCGCCGTCCCTGACGCTAACTAATCTTTCGTACATAATGGGTATATGCATACTTCTAATTTTTCATCACCATAAGGCATACATTATACAACAACAGTATAAAATTTATTATTATTATTATATACTATAGCCACTATCCAAAAATAGCCTCGTGCCTCCATAAATTTCGATTAAATTTTCCCCGACTTCGGGTATTTGCGAAGACGGTCGGAAACTGCCGAGGGTCTATATACATCAGAATTTAATACCGATGGACGCGGCGATATTGTATTGTCGAGCGGATATTATAATTGTTCTGGTTATAAGTTTATAAGTTCTATTTATAAATGTATCACAATATTAACTGATCTGTTTACGATGTTTTGGATAGATTTTGATTATTAATTATTTTATTGTTGTTAGTTTGTCACATAGTATTTATTCGTCGCATGTTTGTGCAAATTATTTTAAATTAATACTAAAATGTTATTACACATAACTAGAGCGCGGATTTCTATGCAATCGCATATTTTTTTTCCTTTCAATATTTTTGGATTTTTGTCAGTTATCTCCACGAATCATCATAATTTGAAGCTAATGGTGAATTTTTTTTTTGCATATTTTTGCATATTTAGAGTTTATTGCATATTTTTGCATAGTTTGGCAAAATTCAAAATTTATTGCATATTGAAGTGAAAATTTAAAAAAAAAATGTATAAAATAATATTTTGTCTAGTAGAAAAATTAAAAATAAATTTCATAGTCACTAAATAATAATTTATATATATATATTTAGTTATAAAATAAATAATCGATAACGACGTAAACTTAATCGCTCTTGATGTGTCAGTCGATTATCGACATACCACTTGCTTCAAATATGCCCCAATAATTTCGGTTGACATCGAGGGTTCGTTTTCAG